GGCACACACACACACATACACATATATATATATACATATATATATATATATATATATATATATATATATATATATATACACATACACACACACACACGCACACACTCACCACACACACACACACACACACACACACATATATATATATATATATATATATATATATATATATATATATATATACAACACATACACACACACACACACACATACACACACGCATCTCCCAAAGACACTAGACTGCCCGAACAACACGGAGTGCAGACTGATTTCGGATTACCAGAAATACAATCTCTACCTGCCGGATATGATGGCTTACGCTGCCCAAGTCTGGGACTGCGTTCCCGCACGTACGTAATTTTATAATAATAATAATTTTTGCCATTATTATTATTATTATTATTATTATTATTATTATTATTATGTGTCTTAATTAATTAATAAATATTAATGGAAATAATATAATAGAAACTCTTTTATTAAACGTCGAAATTTAAAATCGGAATGTATAAATGAAAAAATAAATAAATAAAATATTATATACGTATAGGTAAAGTTAGTATATTCATTATGTTTCGTCAAGTGAAACTGAGTAAGTAGATGAGAAAATGATATCAAATTGATCAAGCTTTGTTCCTGTTGCAATAAATTGAGTAGGGGCAAGTCATTCTGTAGTTTGTTGGACGATTCTTCTTGAAGTAGCCTGTCCGAGAGGAATTTATTAATGATAGTTCAGAAGGATTACGGAAGCCATAGAAGCAATTTCAACTGTTTTAATTGAAATATTAAAACCATCATTTTTGAGACAAGTCGTTTTTGAAGTTGTTTCTAAATTTATAGAGTTTAGATTTGAAACGGATTGTTTCGAGGCAATCGGTCAACTCGTGAACTTTGATGATTGACTATGACAGGATCTGGTCGGAGCAAATTGAATAGATGCCACATTGGTCGAACTGCCTCGTTATCCAGACCCACAAAAGTCTTTATATTTGTCTTCGTGCATGCTAGCAGTTAAGATGAAAATTTTTCCGACATTCCTCCAAATATTTTTCCAGCGGCACGGTTGAATTGTAGCTTGGTCGTTGGTGTAATTTGGAGTCCTTTAGTAGATGCGTCAAGAGTTGAGTGTGTTCAGTTACACGGTCAACTTTTGACTAACTAGGAACCTGTTTGAGTTGTTGTCTGGATGTTTTTTTCACAATCAATCAACCTTCGTTTAGCATCCAAAGACCCAGTTCTCCCGAGGTAGGACGTTGTTTTCTTTACCATCAACTTTTTGCGTCAAATTAGAAAATTAGTTTTATCCATTTCGTTTAAATTTAGAGCTTTAATGTCTTGCTCGATTGTTCGAGGACTTCTTCGGACGGCCTTTGGGACGTGTGCCAGGTACTTCAACATCTGCAAGAGAAGTTATGGCACTGTCTCCACTTCGTTTGACATGCCCACGATGCATTTATATATTCAATTGTCGATGAGTGTTGAAAAACGTTTGTAAAGGACTATAGAGGTATACAGGTTGTATACATGTATACAACCTGTATACATGTATACAGGTTGTATACATGTATACAGGTTGTATACACGTACACAGGTTGTATACATGTACACAGGTTGTATACATGTATACAACCTGTATACATATTTAGTTGTAGCGTAAGTGGTCTAAAACTTTCAGGGTCACTGGTTTTGCCAATTCCGTAAATTAACATTGCAAGGGCCTGCCTCCAATTTGTGGAAATTGTAGAGGATTTCCAACATTCGACCGGCGACTGATGTGGAATTCTTCAAAGAATAAGACAATTTTTTTTTATATAGAAAGATTATCATTGGGATTCGGTCTAGAGGACAGACAGATGGACGCTTTGGTCTCACATTGTCCGACTGTCGATGGAATGTTGGGGATTCAGTGCTGGGAGGAGTTTTAAAGCGATGGAATGGAATAGATGATGGATGGCAGAGTTTCTGCTGTGAGAAGTGTTCCGTCCTAGAAATACTTTTTTTAAGCGGTCTAGAGTTTTAAGCGGAGCTGGGATGGATACCGATTGTTGGGATGGATTGGAATAATAATAACGTGCTTGAAAATAATATTAATAATAAAAATAATAATAACTATAATAATAAAAACATTTTTTTGACCGAAAAGATAAAATCTAAATGAAATCAATCGAAAATTATCAATTAGATATCAGAGTGTAAATATATAAGATGTAAAATATAAGGTAAGATCCTCTCATGCTTTTTGATCAACAAGTGCTTGAGAGTAAAAAAATATATTTAAAATCGGTTAAGCAGCGTTTCTGTCACAATATATGCTATATGACGAGCGAATTATCGCGTTAATCAGTTTTTTATCAAAAGATTTCGGCCATAATATTTTAAACGAAGTTAGATTAAAACCCACAGGTAATATTTCAAATGAATTAATAATTAACGAATAGTTATTATACACTGAATTTAAGTTTAATTTCAAGTTTTTATATTTCTGGCGTTTGTATTCACGTGATGAAGCTAGGTTGATTTCGTGGCAAATTGTGAGCTCTAAAATTTCGATTTTGTTTTTTTTTGGAGAATGGCAATGTCCGGCCGCAACTCGTCGAACAACTGTGACATTGAACGTACACTTTCTGCAATAAGGTCGGCAAATATGCAACAGTCGAAGGGTGCAAAAATCTTCAACCAGTTGACAACCAACGTCAGAAGTATCACAGTTTGTTATGCCTGTCGGTATACCTTGCGAGAGTCGCTGTGGAATTTTTTTTTCATTCGTTTATTATGTAACAAAACTAAATTTGTTACATAATGGGGAATTCCAAGAGAGTAAATCTTAACTAAGCGGAACCCCCAACATTCAAAAAAGTAATCCATAAATTCATAGTTTGATTAAATAAATGTAAATTAAATAATTTTTCTTTCTTTTTTAAGACTTTTAAAGAATTAACTTTTAAAACATATATATATATATATATATATATATGTATAATATGGAAAATTTATGTTTAAAAACAATTAATATATGCATACATGTAAAAACCAATTAATATAAGCATATATGTAAAATATGTAAAATGTTATAATCACAATTCGAAACATGTTTATTTGTTTGGAGATAACTACATAGTGGACATAGACTTATTAGATTGACACATAGATAATACATGGATAATAATAGATAGATACATATATTGACTTACCCCCATTTAATGAAGTTAAATAATAATAATGTTGGTGATGATAATTAATGATAATACTGGAAGGAGATAACCGCCGTCGCAATTTTGTAGTAGTCGCAACATGAAATGATCACTAACGATTGGTTACATTTACATTACAACGATAATAATACCATCGTTACAAAGTTATTGACATTATTAATTTTATTATTATTATTATCATTATTATTGTTGTTATTATTATTAATGTCATAGAAAAAGATGGTTACGGATGCAAGTGTGAGGCTGGCAAGTACCAGCTAGGAGATGACCAATGCCCTACCTGTGAATGTAATTGATTGATTGGTTTGTTGAATGAATGAATGGATGAATGAGTGATTGATTGGTTGAATGAATGAATGGGTGAATGAATGAGTGCTTGAGTGACTGAATGAATGAATGGTTGATTGATTGAATGAGTGATTGTTTGAAAGAATGAACGAATGAATGAGTTTGAGTGATTTAATGAATGGTTGATTGATTCGTTGATTGATTGAATGAGTAGCTGAATGAGTGATTGAATGAATAAATAAATTATTGAATGAACGAACGAATGAATAAATAAATAATTGGATGAATGAACGAGTGAGTGATTGAATAATTAATGACTGAATGAATTATTGATTGATTGATTGATTGATTGATTGATTGATTCGTGTTTTTCTAATTTAAATAAATTGAACGGAACCACAGTTAAAAAGCTTATTTTATTATTTCAATAAAATAAAACAAATAATAATAAAATAAATAAAAATAATAAAGAGTAATAATAATAAAAGCAGTTATGATGATTATCTTGGAAAATAAATATACATATTTATACATCCATCACCATGTGTGTGTGTGTGTGTGTGTGTGTGTGTATGTATGTGTGTGTGTGTGTGTATCTATGCGCGTGTGTGTGAACGTATGCGTGTGTGTGTGTGTGTACATGAACAAGTTATAAAAGGCTCATAATATAAAAAGCACTGAATAATAAAAGAATTGACGAACAAACGAACGAACGAATGGATGGATGGATGAATGAATGAATAAATGAATGTGAGTGTGGACGAATGAATGAATGAATAAATGAGTGAATGATGAATGAATGAATGTCAGTGTGAATTAATGACTGAACAAATGATTGAACGAAATTAAGTTTAAAAAACAAATAAAAACATTAAACGAATAAACAAGAGGGAATAAATGTATAATAACAAATGAATAAAAATATGAATGAATGAATGAATGAATGTACGGTGATGCAAATGAACGAGTAAAAGAATGAATGAACGAATGAACCAAGAACAAACCATTGATAAAAAGAACAAATCAAATGCTGAATAAAAGAAACAACATTAAAAAGGGGTTGAAAGATTGAAATTAACGACATGGAATAACATGGGGGAATGGGGAACCAAATCAACAAAACAAGTGAATCGTCGCATCAATCAATCAATCAATCAATCAAAATCAATCAATCAATCAATCACAATATATCAATATAAATAAATAAACCAATATCTCAACCTCACAACCAATCAATCAACCACAATCACAACCAACCAATCAATCAATCACAATCACAATCACAATCACAATCAATCAATCAATCAATCAATCAGTCAATCAATCAATCATTCAATCAATCAATCAATCATATCTAATGAATGACAAGATAAAGTCAACAAAATGCAATCGAGTAAATTTACAATTATAACACGATGAACAACAGGAGTTTTATGAACACAAATAAAATCATACAAACAAACATACAAACATACATACATACAAACAAACATACAAACATACATATATATGTACATTCATACATACATACATACATACATACACACAAACAAGGTGGCCTAGCAAGTAAAAACTTCTGGTCTCCTAGTAATTTATTATCGTGATATTTTGCTGAATAGAAGATTGTTTCAATTCAATCCAAGCATACATACATACACACACACATACACACACACACACACACACACACATATATATATATATCTATATATAAATATATACATATACATATATATATATATATATATATATATATATATATATATATATATATATATATATATATATATATATATATATATATATATATATATATATATATATATATATATATATATATATATATATATATATATATATATATATATATATATATATATATATATATATATATATATATATATATATATA